AGATTTTGGAGTCACTGACACACAGATGTCACTTAAAGCCATGAGACTGACTGAGAATTAAATTGTTTGAGCCACAAATCAATACTTTCTGACTAATAAATGAGTTCATGGTGCTAAATTTTGAAATTACAGAAAAGTAAATTACATAGGTGGTTAAACTATACTTTTAAAATCAGAATGTTTTAATAGAACTTGCCATGCAAACATTAGGCAGGATCCTTTCAAGATAGAAATGAAGCATAAAATTGCATAGGAAGTCAGCTTTACTTCAATATGGATTGAGGTTTATAGTCTTAGAATCTTAGGATTTGCTAAATGATTTGCAAGCATGGTTTTTATCTACATCTGATAAAATGTTAATGGCTAGCTCAGGGCCCATCTTGTCAGCATCTTTGTTAATATCTGTCATTTCTGTTAAGATTTTTATTAGCAACTCTTCATTTTTATAATTTGTACATTTGTAGAGAAAAAAATGAGTAAATAGTTCCCTCAACTTCTCCCCACATCCCAGGGTAACTAGTAATTTTTTTTAACCTTTTTATTATAGAGAATGTCAGACATACAGAAAAGCAGACAGAAAAGCATCATGAAGCATCCTTACCCATTTCCTGCCCCCAGCTACTATCACCACATGACCAAACCCCTATGCCTTCTCTCTTTAATTTTAATTTTAAAGCAAATTCAAGACTATGTCGTTTCATCTGTAAGTATTACAGAATGTATTGCAAAAACAGGATACTTTTTTCCTACATCTAAAAAATTAATAATAGTTTCTTAATATTATCAGATCTCCAGTAAGTGTTCAAATAAGTTGGGTATTTTTTTACAAATTATTTTTTAAATTAGGATCCAAATAAGGTCCACATGTTGTGATTGATTTATGTCTATTGAGTCTGAAGCTTCCCACTTTTTTTTCTTCTTACTCTCCCTTCTAGTGCGCCCTCTTTCTTCTCCCTCTTTCTCTCTCCCTTCCTGCCTTCTTCTTTCTCTTCCCCTCTCGTTTTCTCTTCTTTCTCTTTCCTTTTCTCCTCACTTCTTATTCTTGCTGTTTCTTTTCTTTTCTTTTTTTTTTTTTTTTTTTTTTTTTGAGTTGGAGTCTCACTCTGTCGCCCAGACTGGAGTGCAGTGGCCGCTCCCGGCCACCGCAGCTCGACCTGCTGGGCTCCGGCGATCCTTCCGCCTCAGCCCTCCGAGTAGCCAGAATTACAGGCGCGCGCTACCACGCCCGGCTGATTTTTTTATTTATTGTAGAGATGAGGTCTTGCTGCCCAGGCGGGTCTCGAACCCGCGGGCTCAGGCAATCCACTCACCTCAGCCTCCCAAAGGCGCGGGATTACAGGCTGAGCCAACGAGCCCGGCATTCTTTTCTTTTTTTGAGTCAGGATCTCACTCTGTTCACCAGACTGGAATGCATAGGCACAATCACAACTCTCTGTGGTCTTGACCTCCTGTGCTCAGGGATCCTTCTGCCTCAGTCTCTCAAGTTGCTAGGACTACAGGTGTGTGCCTCCGTGCCCAGCAAATATTATTTCTTTTCTTTTTTGGGGGGGAGGGTTCGGAGCCTCACTCTGTTACCCAGGCTGGAGTGCGGTGGCACAGTCATGGCTACCACAGCCTCGACCTGCTGAGTGCAGGCAATCCTCCCACCTCAACCTTCCAAATAGCTGGAACTACAGGTATGTGCCACCACACCTAGCTAATGTTTTTTATTTATTGTAGAGACAAGGTCTCACCACGTTGCCCAGGCTGGTCTCAAACCCATGGTCTCAAGCAATCCTCTCACCTACTCTTCCCAAAGTGCTGGGATTACAGGTGTGAGCCACTGCACCTGGCCCAGCTAATTTTTTTATTTTATAGCTATGAGGTCTTGCTATGTTGCCCAGGTTAGTCTCGAACTCCTGGACTCAAGCAATCCTCTTGCCTTGACCTCCCAAAGTGCTGGGATTATAGGCATGAGCCATAATGCCTGGCCATGTTCTTGCTGTTTTTCAAGTTAAACCAGTATTTTGTCTTGTAGAATTTTTCATCATCTTAAATTTGTTGATTGACTACTATAGTGTAGTAAAACTTGTTGCTGCATCCTTTGTATTTCCTCTAAATTGGTAGTTGCGTCTAGAAACTTGATTCATGTTCTTTTTTTTTTGGTCAATTACTTAATAAGTGGTGCTGTTCTATTAAAGAGACATAATGTCTACTTCTGTCTCTTTATTTGTGATATTGGCAGCTGTTCATGCTCAATACCTAGGTTCCTTGGTTCATTAGGAATTTCAGTGTGTTTACATTTGAATTCTGTCATTTTTCTTTTTCTTTCCTTTTTTTTTTTTTTGAGACAGGGTCTTGCTCTGTTGCCCAGATTGGGGTGCAGCGAAACGATTATAGCTTACAGAAGCCTTGAGCTTTTGGGCTCGACAGATCTTCCTGCCTTAATGGCACATACCACCATGCCTGGCTCTGAATCTTTTAATTTTTTCTTCATTTCTTAGCTGGAATACTTCTATAAAGAAAAATTTCTCGTCTGCTGGTTACTTAATGGTATAGTTCATATAAGAAAAGTAGGATTTTTCTTTTTCCAGGTTTCAAAAAACAAAACAAAGTTTCTTAGCATCCTCCAGTGGTAAATACTTAATGGTTTGGATTGGTTGATAGTTGGCAAGCCATGGATTTAAACTTGAAGTCTCTGGATATTTTATTTATTATTATTACAAAAACTGTCTTATCTTTGGCCTTTAAGAGATTCTTCAAGTTAGTTTGTAAGTCCTTTTGACATGATCCTAGTAGTCTATGATAGTTACTTTTCCATTTGGTGTGACAAGCTGTACCAGGCTCATCTGCCAAGTAGGATCAACCTTTTTTTCTGAGAAGTCTGATTTCTTTTATTGAGAAACGATATTTGGAGGCATAATTTGGGTACTAGTAACTTTTTGATGTATATATTTTACCAGACTTTTTCCTAGGAAGAAAATGGGTGTGTTGCAGGGAACTGGAGGGGAAGAAAATAATATATAAGAAACATATGTCTATATTTTGGGGGAGTGTTTTTAAAATAAAAAGTAGATTTATTTTGTAGTTTTACACTTATTTTTTGTGTAACTAAGTATTTCATGGATATCATTTTATATCCATCCACACAGATACATCTAATTATTTGTAATAGATTTTATTTTTTAGGACAGTTTTAAGCTGACAGCAAAATTGAGCAGAAGGGACAGAGATTTCCCATATGTACCTTGCTCTAACACATAGTCTCCCCAGTTATCAACATTCTCCACCAGAGTGGTACATTTGCTAGAATTGATAAATCTACATCGATGCATCATTGCTATCCAAAATCCATAGTTTGCATTTCATTTATTTTGCATTTCATTTTTTGTGTTGTACATTCTATGGGTCTCGACAAATTTATAATGACATTTATTCACCATTATAGTATCATACAGAGTATTTGCAGAGCCCTCAAACTTCTCTTTATAATGCTGAATTGCTCTTCTAGAGAATTGAATTAATTTATATTTCTACAAATAGTGTATTGAACGTTCCCTCACCAATTCTAACTTTTATCTGTGTGTATTTTAGTTTTTAAGCACTCTGATAGAGTGCTTTATTTTGATGACATTGAGCATCTTTTTTATGCTATAAGCTGTTGTTTTTCTTTTTTGTAATGACTGGTCCTATGTGTTTTTTTAAACTAGACTTATTCTTTCCTAAGTTACTAATGGGCTCTAGTAATTTTTAGGGTAAGTTCTTCAGCATGTTTTTCTTTTAATTGTTTTGTTGACTCTATTTTTGCTGTTCACTATCATAATTAATTTCCCAAGTTATAAAAATAAACCTTATATGACTTTGGTTTGAATTACATTAAATCTGTAGTTATCCGGGGGCACAATTTTTTAACTTAAACTGAGCATTATTATATTAATCTGCTATTAATATGTAATAAACAACCACAAGTGTCAGAGCATATTATAGTAAGTACTGATCCCTCACATTTGTATGGGCCATCTAGGGTCTGCAGGTCTCAAGCAGGCTTGTCTGGGACTCTGCTTCAAGTTTCAGATCCACCAGGGTGGGCGTGGTACCTCATTGCAGTTTGGGCTCTGGTCATCTTCAACGGTGTTTTTCCTTAGGTTCAAATCAAAAGGTAACAGCTACCCAGAGCAAATTCTTCTCAAGGTGATAGCAGAGATGCAAGAGAAGAGACGGAAATATGCAACACCTCTGGAACTTAGGCTTGACACACTGCTATTCTTGTCCACATTCCATTGACCAGTAGGAGAAAATTATCCAAGTTCTTGGTCAAGAAGAAGTAGAGTACACTCCAGCTTTTGTAGGAGAAATGGCTAAGTTGATTAACCTGTTGGAAGGCACATCTTTAGGGAGGATAAAAAAACTGGAACCAGTAATTCAGTGTACCACAACATCCATATAAGAAACCTAGGGTGTTATCCTTTTTGTTCAGTTCCTCTTTATCGTGTCTTTGAGTAAAGTTTTATAGAAATGCTATTTTGCACATTTCTTACTGCTTGTTATTTTTTTCCTTTTGCCTTTTATTCCCATTGTTAATAGGATATTTTTTCACAATGTTTTCTCATTTGTTTTTATCCGATTGGAGTCTGTTGTTGTCAGTTGCATTAGTAGATTTTTTTCATGTTTGACCTATGTTTGCATTCCTGGAATTCCTGTACTAAATCAGCCTGGTCAGGTGATTTATTCCTTTAGTATAATACTGTTGCATATTGTTAGTTAATACTTTATTTGGGATTGCCACAGGATTTAATGAGACTAATACAGTCTACTGCCATCTTTTTAAAACATATTAAAATTAAATTTCAGAACATTTTCTAGTTTAAGTAATAAGGTTGATAATTTTCATAAAGTAGATGACATTTTACTAATGAAAATTACTTGAACAGTGGAATAATGAGACAAGTAAACCAACTTTTTAAGCCCTCAAATAAAATATGTGAGTTTATTTCAACATTAATTGAAATGTTTTCCTGCAGGTTACTGCTCCAAGATAACCAAAATGTGGAAGCACTGAGAATGCTGGCTCTTTACTATTTGTGTAGGGAGGGGGATATAGAGAAGGTAAGTTGTGTTGTTTCACTTAAGTTTCCTATATTAAAAATATGTTTCATTATACATACACACAAACACATGTTTTTGTATACATGTACTTTAAAGCCATGAAGTTCTCTTTTAAAATGTATGTCATGGTAGTAGACTACTAGAAAAACACCTTAACAAGGAAATCAATTAGGAAAGCAAAAATATTATATAATTAAATTTACCCTTGAAAATCTTTTAAATCTTTAATTACAGTATATGTGGTTTTCTTTATGAAACTCCTGTGTAATAATAGATATGATTAATGTTACCAGTGATACTGGGTATGAAAAAGTACATATGCAAAATATAATTTATAGTACAAAATAACAATTTTGCAAAAATTAAATAGACTTAGGATGAAATCCCATTGTATCTTATAATAAGGTACATCTGTTTCTATAGTAGTGAACATATTGACTATATACTGGATTATAGAGTGTCAAAATCCAATATGAAGCAAATAGTAGAGCATTTGCATTGTGTTTAGCACGATTAAATAGGTTAATGTGACAGTGCCTAATAAATACTTCAAAAATCTTAGTAGGGATACATCTTCAGTAAATTTTCCAGGCATTGAAATTACTTATACTAAGTACCTTAATAATTTTTCTAATCTGCAAAGCATTTTAAATATAAACTAGTCTAATAGGCAATTCAAGGGCTGATTTCATAAAATATTGTTTATAAATATGTTATCATTAATATCTTTTTTGTGTCATGAATTAACTATTGGATGGGGAGCTTGGCATGTATAATTAATCGAATATTATAAATATCTTGAGCCATCCAAAGATTACTATTCAATAACAAATATCAAAGAAACACATTCTAAAACTTTTAGTTATAATTATTGAACTCATTTAAAAGCATTTTAAATATGTCTAAACTACATATATTCCATTGGAAGAGGAGGAATTTATAAAAGCAAAGGTTTTTTTTAAAAAGTATAAATAGCATACTATGACTAGTATACTTTATTACTGAATATGTGTATGTATTCATTCTTTTTTCTAGTATATTTAGAAATTAATACTGATTACTTTTGTTTTAGGCTTCCACTAAGCTGGATAACTTAGGAAATGCATTGGATGCCATGGAACCACAGAATGCTCAACTTTTCTATAACATTACACTAGCCTTCAGCAGAACTGTAAGAGTACCTGCTATGTACCAGAGCTCTGTTATCTGTGGTAGAGGATATAAAATAAGTCAGAAGGTGGAGGCACTGAAGAACATGTGGCATGTGGCCTAGAGTGAAAATATGATAAGTATCTAAAAATGTGATACATTCCTAAGAAAGGGACTTCAGGGAGATGTGGTTTTAGTCAAGGAGGCTTCATGGAGGGAGTGACACCTATTGAGCCTTTGAGGGGTAGGAAGTACCTTCCAGGCAAATGAAATAGAAACTCTTTTATTTTAATCATAGTATAGGATTTATGACTAGGGTTGTTTTTTTTTTTCTTTCTCTTCTTTTTTTTTTTTTTTTTGGGGTTAAAAAA